CACAGATGCCACTAGCACCCAAGGACCACCCTGCACCTCACCCAGCTTACAGCAGCGCAGCTCGACTATGGCTGCGTGCTCCTTCCCTGATCGCCCGTGAGAGCGTAGGCGCCAGCCAGCAAATAGCTCAGCAGCACTTGCGCAGCATGCAGCCAGCACCCGAATGTCGAATGAGGAGGCAGGCCCTTTGCTATATCCAAGTGGCCTGCCTGCGTCCAGTCCCAGGAAGCTCCAGTTGGCCCCGGCAGCCTGAGGCCCAGCACGTTCGAGAACAGGCCTTGGCCCTGAGTTGGTTGCATGCGCCCAACTGCCTTTGGCCTGTGTTCGGCCCAGTGCCCGTATCCAGCCCAGGGCCTGCTTTCCATACATTCACACAGGCGGCACAGGGCCTGGGTTCTCGCAACCAACTGGCGCTGCGCAACTGCCTGAATTTCCTTGAGTTGCGCAGAGGCCGAAATAAGGCCCTGAGGGGCCTCGTCGAGCCTGCCTGCACTTAGGGCGGCCGACAGGCTCCCAAAAAGGGGCTGAATGGGACTCATAGAGGCAGTAGCCTCGCACTTGTTTAGATTTGATCTGATGGTGAGATTTTTGGTTTGGTTTTTGGTCATTTGCTCTGTCGTTATAGGCGAGCGTAGAGTGTTTTTGACATCATACTACCACTTTCTGACTGAAGCTCAAAGTAGCCAGAGTTCGTATATTTCCACAGAAGTTGCCCTTCTTAGATGGAGAACACCTTCACAACCCTCCCTCCCTTTGAGAACATTCTAACCTGACCCTAATTATGGCCAGATTCTATGAAAAAAACAGCTGCCAAGTATATGTGTGTCCATGACTCCAAGATAATTGAAAAAGTAGGGACATGTCTCTGGGACCCGGAACACAGGATTTCCTGGCCCACTTTCTTTTGATTTTTGCCGGATCACTGGTTGCTGGTCCACAGTCCTGCTAGCAAAGGGGATTGGATTTGATGTCTGAATGTGGACGTGTTTCTAGCTAGGTACAGAGAGTGGCAGTTAATCTGCTTTCTGCATCTCTGTTTAGAACCCATCCAGATTCAGGCACTTGTTCGAATCCTCTTTGCTAGAGGGACTGCGCCCCTGGTCTCCTTGCTGTTTGTGGTCTTTTGCGAAAAAGAGAGTAAAAAGACTGGAAGTGGAATGTTGCTTATGCTGATGAGACTTGCTGGAAAGAATGGGCCTCGCTCCACTCACCGTAACAACACAAAATTCTAAATGCATCTGGACCTGATAATGGTGCAATACATTCAAAATGTTTGGGCACTCGGAATGTAATATGAGCACAACGCAGTCCAGATACACTTAGAATGCTGTGTAGTGGAGCAAGCCCCCCAATGGAACACAAAATTGGCCTCACTCCAATTCCAGTGTAAACCTTTTGCGCAGAAGAACGTCAAATGGACCATAATGATGATTGATTGTCCACGAAAGAGTAGTAATTCAGGATTCCGAGTATTCTCTGATTGTAGAATCTTAATATGTCAGCATGATCCATGGGGACTATTCCACGTTTTGCTGTGGGTATAAAGTCTCCTTTCAAAAATCCCTGTTCTCGCAGTGTACTTAACAGTTTTACTAGAAGTCTAAAGCTAAATTTGTGTCTGCCCTTACCAGCACCACTATCACTGGAAGGGGTGTTTCTTCAAAAAGAAAAAAAAAATAAGAAAAAAAAAAATTGTTCGTAACGTTGTCCGGTACATGGTCATTTGCACTGCCACTGAAAAAATATGCTTCCTTCTTCAGTCATATGACTCGTATCCCATTGTTGATTTACCGACCGATAAAACGATGCAGTCCTGTTCCTCCCCTGTCCTAGTTGTAACTTACCTCCCTCAATCCCTCATATTCTGTGGGGGACTTCCCCCCCCACCCTTCCCCCCCCGGTTACCCAGGATGTTCTCGCCTCTTTGGATACTTCGACCAGATACTTCTTAAACCACCAGTACTTGGGCGACGCCTTAGCGTTAACGCTACGCGATTTCCGCGGCTGTCAATAAATCGAATTGACAGCCCGTGCTGCTTCGAGATTTGGGCGGCCGGCACGGCGCGCAGTGCCCAAGTACTGGTGGTTTAAACCACCAGAACTTGGCCCAGCTATCGATGCCGAACCTGGAATGCCCCTGCGCGCCAATTTTTACCGAAGCGCCGGGGTACCGTTTCAATTTTTTTTTTGCCTGGCGCTTCCAGCCATTGTGGTCAGGTACCCCGAAGCCCTAAAGCCGCAGCGCGTTAACGGGGAAGCGCCGCAGCCGATAGCTGGGCCAAGTACTGGTGGTTTAAATAGCATGCAAAAAATCCTGAGAAAGATCACAAGTTCCGCAACGCTTTCATTGAGGCCAAGCAGCTGAGAGTCCAAGAACAGCAGGAGTTGAGTAGCTGAGAAGAACAAGGAGAAGAAGTTAACCCTCGTGAAGAAAGACCCTTGTAAAAAAAGAATGAGAAGTCGAGAAGTTGAGAAGTAAAAGAAAAAACAGAAGTTGAGAACCGACCAGGTCCGCATCAGGCCTTGTTCCAGACCCGGTACGGTGGGCCAGCCCTTAAACCCCCACTCCATCTGGGCCTTTTTTTTCTTTTTCTTTTTTTTTCGGAATCCGGGCCTATTTTGACAAACCAAACGTTGCATTTCCCTAAGCGTAACATCTACAGTGCCTCCGTGAGGAAAAATCATTGTGGTACCCTTCCCCGCCGAACCTCTGCTGAGCCTAGGCACTGTAGATTTTGGGTCAGTACTCGTAGACAAGGAAAATGAACAATGCAGGGGCTGTTGGAGTGGTGGTTTAAAACCACCAGTACTTCCTAAAGCCGCGACGGTTAGCGGGTCGCAACAATGATGAATGATCGGGCCCATACATTGGCGCGTCGAGTCATTCGAGTACAAGCGCTTCTACTCTATTTTTTTCCGCGGCCAATGTATGGGCCTACCCCTACCCGTTGGGGCGGACGTTAATGCGGAAGCCGAATCGGCCTGCCCCACCGGTCCAAATTCATTCGAGAGGGGGGGGGTACGAAAAATGCACTAGGTACTGGTGGTTTAAAGACCCTTCCTTCTCACGGCCTTACTTTTCATCAAGCACTTCCCTCCCTGGTCTCATCCACTACTACTACCCTTTTCTCATGCGAGTGGAATCAGACCGAGCTGCCTGGTACCATTCATATGTAGTTGTTCTATCTCTTCAATTCAACACTCTAACCACAAAAAAAAAATAAAAAATCAGAACAGAGGAACCAAAAATAATCATCTTTTTTTTTTTTTTTTTTTTTCTCTATATTCTTCTCTCAACTTCTGTTTTTTTACCTTCCACTACCTACTCCTAAGACTATCTAGAGGGGACCCCTTCAGAGTTCTTTAAGATCAACAGATTCAGTATTGCGAGTTGGATTGGTCCATCCATCTTTGTCTTTTTGAAGTAGTGTTTGTCCTTGTTTTGGTGCCTCCTTGATATGTTTGATGGTGTCTCATCGGGCCGATGTTTTCTATTTGCAGCAACAATGTCATGAAGTTTTGCAATGGAAGAATTGGTGCTGTCAATGGAATGTACCCAAATGGCAAGGTCAGTATGCCCTAGGTCTTGTACTGTTTCTTTTCTTTCTTTCTTTTTCTTTTCTTTCTTTCTTTTTCTTCTTTTTTTTTTTTTTTTTTTTTTTTTTTAATAAAGCAAGGCTCCGGTCTATTCGTGGGGAGCAGCATGTGCTGGGAACCGGGCTCAGCGCCCCATATCATACTCACACAGCACCAGGGCCATTATCCGGCTTCAGCTAATGCAAAGATTTTGATGATAAATTTCGTTGATTTTTCAGTGGTAGAGGCTGAGGAGTTGGCTGAGGAGTTGGCTGCAGGGTGAAATCTAGTGGTACCCTCGATGTGCTTGGCCAGTGATGCTTTGCTCGCCGAGGGCCCCACCTAATTTTGTGAGGGACGCTGGGCCCGGTTCCCAGCTTTTATAAATGTTGTTCGTTAAAAAAAAGAAAAAGAAAAAAAAGACAGATCAAGGTGGTCTTGCTCCTTATAGAACAGCAATTTTGTCAAAATGGACATATTTAAAGATTATTTTATTTTTTGAACGAAATTGAAACCTCATAAATTGGCCCAAATTAGGTGGAAATTTCAAGCTCTCGAGGGTCCGGCGTCCTTAATACCCCGGACCCCTTGGATGTATCTAGACTTAGCTGGAGTCCAGTGGGTACGGCGTTCTGAAAACGCTGTCCCCCCTGCATGTATCTGGACTTCGCTTGCATCCAGGGGGTAGGGTGTTTTCAGAACTCCGTACCCTCAGGAGCTGAAAATGTCGACCTAAATCGGGCCAATTTATGGGTTTTCAATTTCGTTCAAAAAATAAAATATGTCCTGTTATTGTATCATATGGATTTTCCTATTTTGTCATTTGAAAAAAGAATCAACTGTATTGAATCTATTGATGCCATTTGACAGGCACCTCTTGTGCACCGTTTTGGGACCAGGTGCCCTGAACCCGACCCACCGCCTACTACTGTCCGCGCATGGGACCATCCACTCTAGGACTATCCAAACTGAAAACAAGTAACCGTCGTCCTGTGGCTGTATCAGACCAGAAAAGTAGTGTGAACACTCTAGGACTATCCAAACTGAAAACAAGTAACCGTCGTCCTGTGGCTGTATCAGACCAGAAAAGTAGTGTGAATACATTCACAAGGACTGTGCGTTAAAGTAGTGTGAATACATTCACAAGGACTGTGCGTCGTGTTCGAGGGAAAGACGGTAGGACTATCCAGCTGAAAACTATTTGGCTGAGGAAGATCCACCCTAGGACGACCATCTGCCSTCGGTCAATCTGCCCAAGGGCCATGTGGCGAAGACAATCTGCCCGACCATCTTCTCCCGGATAAAATCTATAGCCATTATCTCTGTATTTAGACTGAAATTTACCCAAATACGGYTATAACRACTGTAWRTTCTATACRGSGGGAAAGAYGGTAGGATTATATCTGTTAAAGTTGCATCTCTGACCACSCTACGACGACCATCTGCCCTCCCCACTAACTAGRGRAGGCTGCTCCAACCACAMSCCCTAGTAAGGTCCCYGCTGAGATTCTGCAAAAAAARGACAAAAAAGAGGACGACCATCTGCCCTAGGCCGATCTGCCCAAGGGCCATGTGGCAAAGACTATCTGCTGTCTTACTGTTTTCTCCCGGATAGAGCCTTTTTTTTTTTCTTTTTTTTTTTCCCTTCAATGGGGCAGTTAATCCTGCAGTAAAGCAATGGTAACAGATCCTGCATAATCAATCCTGCCCTCTTTATCTTTTTTCACTGCCCTTTTTTTTTTTTTTTGAGACGATGCTCCAATGTATTCGTGGGGAACAACACGGCTGGGAACTGGGCCCAGCGTCCCTTATCAGAATACAAAAATGAGCTACCAGGGCCATTACCCGGCTTTGGCTAAGAACAATTGAAGACAAAGAAAAAACTCAGAAACATTCCGAAGATGTGCGTCAACAAGCCTCCCAACCTCGAATCAGATAGGTGAAACCTATTCAATCCACCTTCGACCACCACCAGCATGGCTGTTTTCAGCACGAACCGAAGCCCTTCCAGGCCTCATGCTCCCATCAGGCTAGGTTACAGAGTTGCACCACCTTGCTCCAGCACCGGCCAGCATTCCTTCAATTACACTACCAATATCTACAAATCGTTGTTTCCAAATACGATTGTTTGTTAAACCACCAGTACTTCCTAAAGTCGCGTAGCGTTAACGCTACGCAATTTTAGGAAGCGTACGGGCCACTACAGGAGCGGCCAAATTCATCCAACTAGAAACGTTTCTACTCGATTTTTTTCCCCGGCCGATAGCTGGGCCAAGTACTGGTGGTTTAACATTTCTTCTACTTCGACCCCCGATGACCACTGAGACTGCCCCCACAAACAGCCCCCCAGATCTCTCTACCAGGCCTCACAACCCCACCAAGCTAGGTCACAGAGTTGTGCCACCTGGCTCCGGCTTCGGCCAGCGTTGCTCCAGCATTGGTCTTCGAGGGCCACCGAATTTTCGACCACCCTTCGCAGGATCAAGGATGACTTGCCAGATATCACCTATTCCTACAACCTCCTCGAGCGGTGAACCAAATGGAAAGAAATACTAAACTGGATGTTAGAAGTCTTCGAGAGAGATCGCCCGTCCCTCCCCCTCCACCTCCCCCCTCAGCCCTACATTGCCTCCGCCGAGGCAAGTCTCCCGCTCTCCCTCGGCCCCAATATAGGACCAACCCTCAACCCCACTTTCCCCAGGAGCACGCAGTTCCCACCTAAAGCATGCCCCCCCACCCCTTGCCCCTTTTCTGCCTCCGCCAGGAGTGATGTTGACCCACACACCAGCCTCTGCCCCAGAATAGGGCAACCCCCTACTACGCCCCTACCCTCTTTGAGACATTCACTCCCCACCTTGTGATGGCTCTGCAAGATAGAGCTTCCCCCACCCCCTTCTTACCATTCATCCCTCCGGGAACGATCCGATCCAGCCGACTACAGTTATTAATGACACTTACCAAAATGTCAATCGCAATTTGGAAAAGCAGGGCCTCTTCAAAAGTATGCAATAACCCCCGAAAACACCCTACATCTTTAAGAACAACCCACTGAAGAAAGCGCAGGGAAGCAGTAAAACTATTACAATTATTTCCCTGCCCCTTGCACCAATCAACTTTTGGCAGCTCCCACCATGTGCACGTATCACCAATTTAAAAGAAGCAACAAACTAATTATCGGAGAGATTCCGAAGTTTTCAGGTTCCGAGATTAGAAAATCATGATAGAACTTCACTTGAGACTTTTAGAAATTATAGTCGAAATTCAAGGCTACGTAGTTATAGAACAGATCCCTACGAATTATG